TTTTACACAAGGAAATTCCCTCGTACTCTCACCTCAAAACATTTGGTTGCGAATGTTTCCCGCTAACACCACATCCTCTACGAAACAAACTGCAACAAAAATCAATCTCATGCGTGTTTCTCGAATATTCAGATCAATACAAAGGGTACAAGTGCTATAATCGTCAAACAAACTCTGTTTCGATCTCTTGGCACGTCACCTTCATTGAGGACTCGTTTCCCATTTCAAAACAATCACGAGACTACGCCCTCTATTTCTCATAATGCGGCTCTGGCTTTCCTAATGCCTTACTCCTCGGCTCAGCAACCACCTTCCAGGCATACCCAAGAGAATTACAATACTCAGCAGGCTCAACAAATCAGACCGATCAATCCGGAGATGACAATTCTCACACCTACTCCTGAGTTAGCACCCGAAACAATTACCTCTCCCAGCACCTGCAGCATACCTACCAAGATCACTACTACTCAACATCCAATGGTCACTCGCCTCAGAACCGGCTCACTCAAACCATGCAACAGACTCAACCTCATAAACCATCAGTCGGATAATAGCCCATCCGAGCCCACAACGTATCAGGAAGCATTCAAATTCCCGGCATGGAGTCAAGCCATGGCAACCTATCTTAGGATGTCGATGGACCTTCCGCACAAAACGACACACAGACGGCTCTATCGCTTGCTTCAAAGCCCGGCTCGTGGCTCAGGGTAATCATCAAGAACATGGCATAGATTACCTTGATACATTCAGCCCCGTAGCAAAACTACCTACGGTTCACATACTCATCATTGTTGCTCTCTTTAATAATTGGGATATCCAGCAATTCGACATGGAGAACTCTTTTCTCCATGGGAAGCTGTCGGAGACAGTATACATGAGACAGCCGAATGGATTTGAAGACACATCGAATCCAGATCACGTGTGTCTTCTCCAAAAGGTAATCTATGGCCTAAAACAGGCGCCAAGACAGTGGTACAACATGTTTACAGATCACGTACTCTCTCTTGGCTTCCACCACAGTCGAGCAGACCTGTCATTGCTCACTTACAAGAAAAACGACACGCAAATGTATCTGTTGGTATACGTCGATGACATATTGATCACCGGCAACAACAATCAAGCTATGTCCGATTTCACCTCTAAACTTGCAGCTCGTTTTAATTTGAAAAAACTTGGTCTTGCAAATCAATTTTTGGGTATTTCTATACGTCACACTAATCACTCTTATTTTCTTTCCCAGAAATCCTATGCGGTATCCATTCTCCAGCAAGCAGGGATGATGAACTGCAAAGCACTGGCTAATCCGACGTGTACAAAAACACCGTCTGACATTAAACCAGATGTGCTGCTCTCCGATCATATAACATTCCGGCGTATAACCAGATCACTACAATATTTAACCTTGACACGCCCGGGCATTGCCTTCGCAGTCAATGTTATCTCTCAACATATGCATAACCTGCTACCTACTCACTGCTATTTGTTAAAACGACTTCTCAGGTACATACGCAAGACGCTCGACTTCGGCCTTCCAGTTACCAAATCGGACCTCCAGCTGCGTTCGTTCTCCAATGCCGACTGGGCTAGAGACCCATCTACCATGAAGTCTACCACCGGGCATTGTACATTTCTTGGCAAGACACTCGTTTCATGGGCTGCCAAGAAACAAACGGTCGTAGCTCGATCTTCAACAGAATCGGAGTACAGGGAACTTGCAGCGGCAACCGCGGATCTCATTTGGATTAAACGATTGCTTACCAATTTTAACATTACACAAGATAGCCTAGCTGATCTATTCTGCGATAATACCTTCGCTATCGCATTAGCTAATAATCCTGTCTTTCACACCAGGATGAAGCACATTGAAATAGATCAACGATTTATTCGTGATCAAATTCATCACAACAACATACGCCTACATCCAATCAGCTCGATCGATCAAGTCGCTGACATCTTTACCAAGTATATGTCAACACCAAGATTTCAAGATCTTCGACTCAAACTGACGATCGTCCGAGATCCCTCAGTTTGCGGGGGAATATTAGAAGACAAATATAATAACACTTAGTACCACATCTCTTGTACTCTCACCATGGCTTCATCTCTGTAATAGAATCTATATATATGGCTATAACAAGACCATACAATAGTAATGAAATGATCTATTTTCCTTTTAGCTTAATCTCTACCCAGTTTCCTCTTATCCTTTGTTTCTACAGTATATTTTAGTATTTAAAAATATCATAAATATTTATGATATATAAAGATGTCTTAAATTTTTGAAGGAGATATGTGCTATTCTTAAATCTGAGGAGAATTAGGCGTTGAATATTATATGTTTTAATATTATTATATTTCATCTATGGATAATTTATATAAAAATTTTATGGAAAATAGAATAAATTATAAATTAACCCAACATAAACTAGTGATTACCTCAAGGCTCATTCCTACGGCATTTAGGTCATCTCCAATCAAACGATATTCTCCGGTTTGTAGTAGCCGTCTATTCAAATGAATGACAAATTGAACGTCATTTTCGTATTTTGAGTAGTGTGATGTTAGTATTGGCGTCGCACTACTCACAGCAGAGAGAAAACAAAAAAAATAAGTTTTGATGCAGGACTAAGCGAAATAAGTCATGCAAATAGAGATTTATGCTAAGATAACATCAAAAAGAACAAAATTTACTTAATAAAACATTAAGAACAATAAGAAAATTTGAACTATTAGATCATGTGATAGCA